CTCAGCTCACACTCCAGCTCCCCCTCCTGCAGCTCCCACTGCAGCTCCCATTCCAGTTCCCACTCCAGTTCCCACTCCAGTTCCCACTCCAGCTCCCACTCCCTCAGTTCCCACTCTAGCTCCCATTCTAGTTCCCACTCCAGCTCCCACTCCAGCTCCCACTCCCTCAGCTCCCACTCCAGTTCCCACTCAAGCTCCCACTCAGCTCACACTCCAGTTCCCACTCCCTCAGCTCACACTCCCTTAGCTCACACTCCAGCTCACACTCCCTCAGCTCACACTCCAGTTCCCACTCCCTCAGCTCACACTCCAGCTACCACTCCAGTTCACACTCCAGCTCACACTTCAGCTCCCACTCCAGTTCACACTCCAGCTCCCACTCCAGTTCACACTACAGCTACCACTCCACTTCCCACTCTAGCTCACACTCCAGCTCACACTCCCTCAGCTCACACTCCAGCTCACACTCCAGTTCACACTACAGCTACCACTCCACTTCCCACTCTAGCTCCCACTCCAGCTCACACTCCCTCAGCTCACACTCCAGCTCCCACTCCTGCAGCTCCCACTGCAGCTCCCATTCCAGTTCCCACTCCAGTTCCCACTCCAGTTCCCACTCCAGCTCCCACTCCCTCAGTTCCCACTCTAGCTCCCATTCCAGTTCCCACTCCAGCTCCCACTCCAGCTCCCACTCCCTTAGCTCCCACTCCAGCTGCCACCCCAGTTCTCACTCCTCCTCCCACTCTAGCTCCCACTCCAGTTCCCACTCCAGCTCCCACTCCAGCTCCCACTCCCTTAGCTCCCACTCCAGCTGCCACCCCAGTTCTCACTCCTCCTCCCCCCCTAGCTCCCACTCCAATTCCCACTCCAGCTCCCACTCCCTCAACTCATACTCCAGTTCCCACTCCAGCTCCCAATCCCTCAGCTCCCACTCCAGTTCACACTCCAGCTCACACTTCAGCTCACACTCCCTCAGCTCACACTCCAGCTCCCACTCCAGTTCACACTACAGCTACCACTCCACTTCCCACTCTAGCTCCCACTCCAGCTCACACTCCCTCAGCTCACACTCCAGCTCCCA